AGATGGCTGATATCGAAGAAAAGAAACGAACGTGGCCAGGGGTGGGTCTCGAAACTAGGTCTCCGGAAATCAAGCACCCCACGCGGGGGCAATCGACGGCAACTTCAAGTCCTCCTTGATGGCTGAATCCGGCAAAGAAGTCGGTGGCCGAAAGCTGTAGGACCTGGGCCATGAGATGGGTTAAGTGTTTTCATGTTTGTTTACTACGTACGTATATTTGCATGTGAGGGTTCATGTTCGATTTGCTTTTTTCATGTACCAAAGTTGAAGTCCCAAACATGACAGGGCAATCAAAACTCGACTGTGATCCCGGACTTTTGTGTGTCCACCATCACATCCAGAAGTCCTTTGCAATGAGGGTCGTCTGCCAATACAGCTTTGAAGTCTTTCTTTCCTTTCTCCTGCGCTCGCGAAGGTGGATTGGTGAATATACGAAGTGAGAGGATAGAGCTCCGAAGGGTCACAGGATAAGTGAGCCGTTGTCGCTAATCTAGCTCACGAGAAGCTCATTTAGGTCGGATATGGTCGGATACTCGATGCCCTATACATGCATGCAAACAACGACTTGCGCCCCACAACATATATATGGCCTCAGATTCCTTTGCTTTGCGTTTCTTCTCCTTCAGCTTCTTCGTCTTGGGAGTCATGTCGGGAGGCTCAGGTTCGTCACGCTCCTCCTCTTCACCACGCTCCTCTTTCTTGGCTTTCTTCACTTTCTTCACCTCTTCTTCTGCTTTCTTGCTCGCATTCTCCTTTGTTCTCTTACGACGGCTCCCCTTCGTTTCTTCCTTTGCTTCCTCAATCCTTTTTGCTTCCACCTTCGGCCTCTTCTTCATCTCCTTTTCTTCTTCCACTTCCTCCACATTTTCATGTGCTGGTCTCAGCCTCCTTCGTGGCTTCCTTGGCTGCTCCTCAGCAGATTCTTGCTTGCCTCCATCTCCACTCTTTGATTCCTCAACTGCTTTAAATTCTGGGTCCAAGCGCCTTGCAGTTCTGACTCTGCTGGAGCTGCTCGTGCTCAGCTCACCCGACTTGGCAGCATTTGCCCTCTTGAGGAGCTCGAGCTTTCGTTTTGATGGGGATGCCGAAGCTGCATCCTTTGAAGCCCTTCCTCGGCCTTTGCCTTTTCCTCCTCCTTTGCCTTTTCCTCCTCTGCCTCTGCCCCTTCCTCTTCCCTGCTTCTTTCCAGCCTCCGATGCTTCGTCCATGTCTCTGATGAATTTGTCTTGATCTTCATGCTCTTCCTCTTCTTCCCGCATGGTCTTTCTCATCTTTTTTTGGGCCTGTCCCAAGCCGCGCGTGCAGTGAACAGGTAGCGCAACATGTTATAGATATCGATCGATCGATATATATTGTATCCAAGCCGGAGTATGTCGAAGTCAATCCACCTACCCAGGAACGAACGGCTCTATCAAAGAATGACCTCTCTTGGGACTGGCGACACGACTAATTAGCCTCCATGAGATCTTCGATACGATGATTCTTTTCCTCATCCGCCAACATCTTCTCAGCAGCCTTTGCAGTGTCAGGGTCATGAAGAGGTTCTTGTGTCAATGGCTTTCGGTCCTGAGCATTGGGAGGTTGATCTTAAGAGTGAAGATAAAAGGGTCCGTGTTGCGCGGTACTTTCTTGTCTGTGGTATATCGATACGTACATTGGCCAACATACACACCCCATGCCAAAAAATACAACCCTGAAGTGCCACCACACCCACAGTCCTTGAAGGTTCCACGGCTTTCTCCAGTTTTCACTTCCTCCTCTTCACTCACCAAGTCTTCAACAAACGGAGCGTCAACTTCTTCGCTCCGGGGTTGACTGATCTCGGGTTCTTCTTTCTTCTCAATCTCACGGTTGACCTTTTTCTTCTTGGCTTCCTCCTTTGTTGATGATATTTCAACTTGCTCTGGCAAGTTTCTTTTTGCTGTACTCTTCTCATCCGGTTCCTTTGGTTCCACCTTGACACCCTCCTTTGCATTCTCTTTCGCCTCTTTTGGATCCCCTCCTGCTTTTGGCACCCACTGCAAAATTTGAGAATCTTGCAATGGATCGAGCTCCCAAATGCCGGCCTCTGCTATGGGCATCTCAAGGGTTTCCACTTGATCAGGGTGTTCTTTGGTCTCTCCACCCTTGTGCATCGTCTCATCTTCACCTTGTTCTTTCTCCTCTACCTCCTCCTCTATTTTCAGATTCACAATTTCTTCAACTTCCTTCTCACGTTCTACCTCCTCCTCTTCCTTCACACTTTCTTCAACTTTCTTCTCAAGTTCTACCTCCTCCCCTTCCTTCACACTTCTTCAACTTCCTTCTCACCTTCTACCTCCTCCTCTTCCTTCACACTTTCTTCAACTTCCTTCTCACGTTCTGCCTCCTCCTCTTCCTTCACACTTTCTTCACCTTTCTTCTCAGGTTCTACCTCCTCTGCCACTTCTTCCTCTTCCTCTTCCTCTTCCTCTTCCTCTCCTTCTATCTCCTCTTTTTCTTCACCTTCTTCAATTTCTACCTCTTCTGCCTTTGCTTTTTCATCTTCATTTTCATCGCTTTCCTCAATTTCTGTTGGTGGGTCATCTTGCTCTTCTTCTTCCTGTCCTGTGCTGTGTGAGCGCGCAGTGCATGGGTGGACAGTTCTGTGCACGCATGCATGCATGTACATGTGTATAGCGCGTGTGAAAGTACATGCGTAGCATGACTGAATTTCAGGTACCGGGACCGGTCACAAGTATATAAAATTTCTAAATCGATCGAACTTAGCTGTGTATGCATCGGCTCACTATCCCGGGACCAACGCTGCCCGCCTGATTGGCGAAAGGATGCAGAACGTCCTCTGGACGCAATCTTTTTTCCTTTCGATGTGAGCAGCCCAGCTTCCTGTGGCCACATGTTGTGGATGACAGTTATATAATCGATTTGGTTAGTTGAAAGAATAGAAATCAAGTCAAACGTGCAGGACAATAAAACATATCAGGTTGCTAGACTGGCACGCCTTCAGTTTTGTTTTGATGATGGACTTGATCTCAGCCATCTTTTGTCTTCCACTCCTTCAGAGTGAGGGTTCATTGGTCTAGCCAATCGATCAGCATGCCATTATTGTCTCAAAAGGTTCTTGAAGGCCAGTGCATAGAATGACTCGTACTCACTCCTTGCATTGGGGTTGCGTTGAAAGCGGTGTGTCAGTAGGTGATGAAACTGCGGAGCAGCATTTGTTCTGATTCTGCCCATGCCTCGGTACGATGACTCGATCGGATCTTTATAGTACACGGCCAGTCGTTCTAAAACCTGAGTTCAGAACCATGTGCAAGGCAGAGGTGCGAAAATGCGGGTTCAACCCTAGATGGAAGCTTGCCCACGCAAGGGACTCCTGGCAATAATAGACTCACATGGCCTGGATGGACATTGTAGGTCTGATCAAAACAGAATCCATGAGCAGTCCTTCAGTTCCGTGTTTGTGGGTATCTGATCCCCAACCGCCGCAAAGAACGAGATAAGAAAGTCAGCATTGTCGGGGCTTTCCACCTGCAACGAAGAGATCAGCGAACATACGTACTGGATATCAGGGATCAACATCGAACACCAAAAGGGCGATCGACCCATCAAGTCGCACGCACCTCATGTTCTCTCACCACATCCCCATCGTCAAGGCGCGTTAGGAAAGTGAAGCGCACAGCCTGGGAAATCAGTTGATCAACATGTGAATCGATCAATATTAATAAAACGCCTTCGATGGGAATTTGACATCAGTTTGGGAATTGAGGGAAGGACCCGTACATCTTTGGCAGATGAGCCCATCTTTGCCTTCAATGACTTCTTTCGCTTGGATGCCCAATCGTCCTCCTGGCAGTACTCCGTGAAGAACTCCTGCAAACGACCCCGTGTACTGGTTGGGTCTCAATCATTGGTTCGCGTTAGATTCCATTTAACTTGATCCATGGCCACTTGTTCGAAAAATGCACCAACTCTGCACTTACTGGGAAGTCCTTGAGCAGAGCCAATTGTTCATCGCTTTTGCGGGGAATCATATGGCCTAGCTCGCAAGCCCTGCCCCAAAATGCAACAGGTTGCTGGGCCTGCACTTTTCTGGGCCCAAATGGCCAGAAGGGATGCACAAGTTTCGGCAGTGCAGTTCACTTGGTCCCAATCCATGATACTATCGATCTATCATGATCTATCGATGATCAATATGATCTAAAAGCAAAAAGCACGGATCGATCAAGTTGTATCGCACACACGCTTCCACGTTAGCAGGGAGGCGGGCGAACCATGTTCATCCGGATCCATCAGTTCCTCCTCGAAGGCCTCTAGGGCACCTTGGACGGTGAAAGGCATTTGGGATCCGGTACCCCCCATACTTTAATTAAAGTAAAGTGCAAGTTGAACGCAAACCAATCTAGGTGGCTGGCGTTTCCGCAATGCTCTTTTCATTGAGCGGGTGTGACCTGAATTTTCATATAGGTCTCAGTGTTTAGGAAATGTGTGTTACTGGTTCGAATTGGTTGAACAAAAATCAGTTGAGCTTCCAACATACATGGCCTTCATGCCCATCATTGGCGCAGTCATGGCACCGACAGCCCAAGTTCCCAAGTTTGGTCCCCAATTGTTCCAGTATACTTGGAAATGATGGAACATGGCGGAACCTTTGTCAAGTTACTTTCGAACTCTTCTGGGCGCTTTTCAACAGTGGAGATCTGGATGGGCCCACGTGTTTTCTCTAGAGGGCTTTGAAGAAGCTCCTGCTTTGACCACTGAGCCACAATCTGCGCCTGAGCAAAGTGCGCTGGAACGGATGGCAGGGGTGGAAACGTCATGAAAAGTCGTTCTTCCTAAAAAATGGTCGTTCGACAACCACCTTTTTTAAAATGGTCGTTGACCTGCAGGGTATATATATATATATGTTTTTAAAACCGTGTCTTTTTTCACAATAAAACAAAACAAGTTTTTTTCACAATAAAACAACACAAAGACACCGCCAAGGCCACTGCACCTCGGCCGGGCCAGGTCGGTCCGGCCTCAGCGCCCGGCACCTGCTCCCGCAAGGCCTTTTCAGCGGCCACGGCGCGGTCGCCTGGGACTGGAGCGGAGCGGAGCGGAGCAGAGAGAGAGAGAGAGAGAGACAGAGAGAGAGAGAGAGAGGCGGAATGGCATTGGTGTTATATGGTTATGGTATTAATTGGTTTTATAATGATATAGTATGATATAGGGGAATTGACATGGTCTACATCAATGTGCTCATGATAGTATATAGTGGTCAAATGGTTACAGTTCCAGGGGTCTATGGTAGGGGTATACCTCCAATCCTCATGAATCTGTGGAATTGAAAGCTGTGTTTTGGTGCCTTGAACTGCCGTGTCTGTTTTTGTTGTTACTTCTTATACAGTAGCAGCCTGTTGAGGTTCCGTTCAGTATTTAGTACAGTCGGTAAGTAGTACTGTTGGATACTGTTGGTGTTTTTGTTATTTAGGCTGATGAAGACTTACTTTCCTAGCGAATCCAATGGGTGTCCAATGGAGCCCTATAATATCCTATAATACAGTGTGCTTGGTCCATCGGTGACCCGTTAGAAGCAACAGGTTGATTATTGATGCGCCATCGTTTTCGACTGATGTCGCTGGCCGCACAAGTCCGGGCCGATGATGGGTTTTCGTACGTTGCTCATCTTCGGGGATGGGGGGCCAAGGTGTTTTTCCTCCTCTCCTTCGATGCATTCACAATTGACTCGGCTTTGGGTGCTCAATGGTGCTCAACCAACTCCTTCAGCGGTCGGTTCAAAGCAGGCACATGAATCCTTGCACTGCATGGATCGAATGCGACATCTTCACAACGAACTTTCAAGCATTGCTCTGCACGAAGACTTGCCACATGGACGGCCACAACTTGCCCACCTTCTTACAAGTACCTTCGGTTCCTTCACCGTCCGCATGGCCATGGAATTCAGGTGGGCTTGAGACTGGCACACCTCCTCAACTTCTCACATGAGCAGCGGACAAAATTACTTGTGTAGCGCAATACCATTTGACATGATTATCGTTTTTGGTGGGGTCCATATCGTTCTCCAATGTTTCTCCAAACCGTAGTTAGCATAGCATACCAGCACATAGGCTAAAACACAAAATATGACTCACAACCTCAGATTAGAGGCTTACAGTGCTTTCTGCACAGGAATGGCACAGCACCTGATTTATGCGCTCGTACCAACACTAGTAATGTGGAGAAGTAGGTCTACGGAGTGCCTGGCGTGACATTTAGGTTATCGTTCGCTTATCGTTTGGATTATCGTTTGGGAAGTTGTCTGGGATTATCATTGATGAAAAGAGGTGCCCATCGGTTTAGCTCAAATATGCTCAAATAAACTTGCAAATGCAATCGCATCTGGTAACCACAAACATCTTTGTACCCACTACATCTTAACAAGACTATCGTTTTTGGTGGGGACCATATCGTTTTCCACAGAAACAAAGCCCTCAACATAGGTTTAGGGTCATGCCATGACTAAATAAGTCAGCCAATAATTTTGTCCGTCGCTCACATGACCTGCTCCGGGATGCTCCCGGCAGTGCGGCGCCAGACTGGCATCTGTTCCTGAAGCCGAGCCCGGTTTGACAGCCTCAAAGTGCATCCCCATGCTTTGTACTTCATTCCCCGGGGTACAAGGTCAAGAACCCCCTCAAAGCCCTTCGGGCTCCAACGACCTTCTGAGAAGGTCCTCTAGCAGGCTGGGTCTGTGGGTCCTCTAAGGGTGATGTGGCTGGTTGGATCTTTTTGATCGCTTTTGCCATAGCGACAGTCTTCTCAGTCAGTCCAGGTGGTTGCAAGCATTTGCAAGCTGGCCGCCAGTTTGTTATTGTCCAGTCAAACGCAGTTTGTGCAATCCATTCTGAAACGTGGCTTGGCAATAACCCCATCTTGATTGTCTTGGTGCTGAACATTAATTAAGGGCGATACTACTTACACGGAACCCCCATCTCTCATGGAACCACATATATAGTATAATCCTCTGGTACCTAGGAGAAATGATACACCAAACACACTACCCAAAACAGATCACCATTTTCTTGTCTCTGGCAACGAACTTGCCAGTGGTTACCCCAACCGCTTTCATTAAAGTGCGGAATCCTCCGAGCTCACTTTGTTGTTGAATCCTGCAGCGGTTGGACCGTGTTTGCTCTATGCGGCCTAGGGCTCCTGGCCCACATCTTCAGAAGGTAGGGACGATTCTATTTCTAATAGGTTCTTGTTTCTAAAAGCTTTTTTTGTTACTACTAGTAAGGCACTTAAGGCACTTGTTACTAGTAGTAAGGCACTTGTTCCTAATAGCTCCTTGTTTCTAATAGCCACCCCCAAACCAGGTTTGGTCCGACTTCCGGCTTCGACCGACGCCCCGGGACCTCGGACGCGGAATAGAACACGACCGGCCGAGGGGCTCTGGCGATTTAACATCACCACATGTGCTCCTGACATCGACGACAGCGCGGTACTGCCTTCGGATGCCTGGGATCCCTGAAGGAAGACTTGGTCCCAAGCACCCTGACGGTCCCAAGGATGGACACCGCAAAACGGATGCCCGAAAAGGGCACGGACCTTCTCAGGTTCAATACGACTGGACCCGACTGGCTGGCACCTACAGTCTCCAGTGTCTCCAATCACCTTCTGCCCCAGGGGGATGGTCCTGGGATGGTCGGCCTCCCTTTTCTCGTCGAGTAGTCTGAACCCGCTGGCCGACCCGGAAAGCACATGGATGCAACGCTCACATGGATTCATCATGGATGCTTGGCCCAGAAAGTACACTCACATGGATGTTTGGCCCAGGAAAAAACATCTAGAATCATCCAGTTGCACGAAGTCCAAATTTCAAGATGTTATAGCTACATAGCTATAACAACATGAATCATGTCATATGTTATATCTTTGAAAAAACATACAACACAAATTAGTGCCAAGTTCAGGATCATTCAACGATTGAACCCACAAACGTGTGTGTGGGCGGGTCTGACAACCTCGTGCAGGATCGAAGTTTGTGTTTTCAAGCTGTCTGATTTTTTCTCTTGATCCTCCACCTAAATGATCTAGATTTCTCCCAATCACTGCTACAAATTCTCCAAAAGGCGACAGGTTTTTGCCCAGTGCAGAAGGTGTGCCTACCTGAATCCAGGATTGACATGGCACTGACATTTGTCCATTGACCCCAGGTCAAGATCTCCCAATTCAATGTGTAGGTCAATCGATCCCCGACCCCTCGGACCCCCCGTGGTCTCCTTTCTTCGCGGCGGTCGTGGCGGCCACCAGTCCGGTGCCCGAGGTGCAGCCGGTGACGCAGAAGACCTGGAGCAGTCCAGCGGATCGGATCGGAACGCCACACGAAGAAGCGGCCAGGGCGGCGGTGGTTGACCTGGGGTGGTTGACCTATGCCAGTCAGTCCGGAATTGGAGTATCTTAACTTGCATTGACAAGGCCATCCAGGCAACTCTTTCGAAACGGGACGCAAGAGAAAAAACACGTTCTCCGCCTGGAGCTCCCGTCCGTTCCTGACAGCCCAGGGGTGGGATTCTTCACCAGACTGAAATCAAGACCCCAAATGATTGGCTTGGATTGGATGATTGAAAAACAACTTTTTGGAGCGTTCAAAGGGAACCAACAAGGATTAAATAAGCTGTTTCTTCATCGAAGGTCCGAAAGTGGATGGCCTGTCTTCTGAATAGACCAGTTGGGAACATCAGTAGGGAGCCAGATTTTGCAAGGTTTCACACGGACAGGAGTGGTGGCATGCGTTTTCATGGGCAAACAGTTCCCAAACAATAACGTCGGGAGAGGACTTTCGCCTTTCAAAAGAGGCTTTCACCTTTGCCACAAAACCAATGTTGAAATATCTTAACAGTCTTATCAACTATTTTAGTTCTGATATTTGTCTTGAGCATTTACAAGAATAGGCATTTCCAAAATGCCAGATCATTTCTACAATCCGGCATCTTCCTTCGAATACACGAATGTGGCCCTCGTGGCTTCCAAAATTGTACTGAGCATCTACAAGAAGACTTCCGTGCCCTACCAACATCATTCCAAGCCTGCCCACCAAACACCATCAAGCGCTCCAACAACCAGCGCAACATTTCGCCCTCCAGCCAAAAAGCAGGCGTCTAACAACATCTTTAACAAAACATCGCAAAAACACTGTGTGCTGGTGCTTTTTGCCTCCGGCATGGTCTCGGATAGACCATGGTCTCTCCGACAGTCTCTCCCATTTCAGCCGTGCAGCCTTCCCTTGCAAGGAGGGCAGCTCCTGTTCAAAGTCCGGGAACCATCGCGTGGGAATCTCCGCCGGCGCCTGGGGACCCCCCCTGAGCGACCCGGTCATGGTCGCACGGCGAGTGAAGGAAGGCAGAAGGCAAGCGATGATGTCCGATGTCCGATTTGGTAATTTGGTATCAAGTTTATACGATATGGGTTGTTCAGGGAGTAGGCCCCTCTATCAATCAAGGTTAAAAGACCGAGCCTTTCTGGTGGATGGCATCTATCCCATATCCCATCTATCATGGAGTCTTTGGGAACAATACGTTCGACATACTTCGCACTGGTTCTGAAATGGTGTTCAGGGCTGGAACAAGCACTGAGACCGCATTGAGACCGCCTTCGTTTTCGCACTTCCTTGACACTCAAAACCCAGGACTGCCGGTCGCCAGCTCATCCTCGACTTGAGGGAACGGGTCGCCAGCCCCGAGAAAAACTCCGGTGTCATGTTTGTTTGTTTGCTTCTGTGGGTTGTTGCTGGTTTCTTATTTTCTTGGAAACATTGCTACATGGTAATGCTGTGTGATATTTCATGGCAGGGTGCCATGGACACACTTGCGTGAACTTGTGTGCCGTGGTCATCCACGATTCCTCAAGAGTCCCAAATGTACTCCGAAATCGTGATGCTTCTATGCCAATTGCTGATGCTTGGCGTTCACCAATGAATGTCGGAGAAGGCTTTCACATTGGTTTGACACAATTAGTTTAAAGATGTTGAAAGTGGATCATCTAGACTTCTAATGCTCCCGCTCGAGTCTACAACTGGCCGGGTGACCTTCTAAAACCCATCTTCAACGATGGACACCTCCAGACCAAAAAAACACAAAACCATGGAACCACGGTGGAACCCACGCGCCGAACACGCACCAACGCACCGTGTAGCTGCTGGCGCCCGAGAATGCGCTACCCATTGCGTCTCACGGGTGGACGCGCAGAACGCACGTCTCGAGCTGGTAGCAGCAATCCCAGCAGTGGTGGCGAATTCACCGGGAATGACTGCGCAAACAAATCCCTAAGATTCCACCCACGATTCAATGGCCTTTCTAGAAGAACCATTCGTTTTAATAAGAATGTTACACAAAAATTGTCTAAATAAGACGTTTCAAATAATAACTATATAACAATGAACGACAATGAACGATATTACTATTACTGACAAACAAAACTGCCAGAGTGTGGCTGTGATGATCATTCGGATGGTGGTCAACTGAAGTGCAAGCTTGTAAAATGAAGTCTCTAAGGTGTGGAACGCCTGCGAAGGTGTCCGTTTCATAGGAGCTCTGTTCACCGGTCTCGTCTTCTCCAAGCAAGAAGAAACTGGACCCGAACAAGAATCAGGTACAACTGCATGTATACATCTTGGTGTTCAAGGGTACGAACGGGTCGACTCCAGGTCAACCCACGTTCTCTTGGTCAGGATGCGAAACAAAAGTGCCGAATCATTATCATGCGCCTCCATCGACCTGATCATCCCCCTACGGACCTATTATTGTAGCTTTGGATGCACCGAAGCTCTGAGCACTCCACTGCCCCAAAAAAGAAAAAAAAGCGCTGCAAGACCAAGTTGAAGCAAATTTTCTCCGAGAGGAATCAGCAGAATTCTTCGAAGTGTCAAAGCACCTGGCGGTGTTCTTTCGGAAAGTGAAGCTAGCATTGTGGCCATCCTTCAGATTTTGAGTCTGGGCTATTGCAGTTGATTCAACAAGATTCAACAAGCCATGTATAACCACATGACCTTGAACAAAACATATAGGATGATAACCCACCCATTTGGATTGAACAACCTCTTCATATGGTGTTCTTTAATAATAAAGAGTCTGCTGCTCCATGCTAATATCATCCACATATTTTTTCTGTCACATCCCGGCATGCGACAAATCAAAACTGGCGCCTCACTTGGAAAACGTAAACAATTTCACGTCCATCACGAGATCCGGCTGATAGACCTCGCTGCATTGAGAGCAACTGGTAGGAACAAACAACATGATTTTGATTGATTTTGATTTGTGGGTGTGTATGAGAGAAAGAGAGAGAGAGCGAGAGAGAGACAGAGAGAGCCTCCAACCAATGGCTGGCCAACAAACTCACAACATGCTGCAGTGTTTTTTCATGGGTTTTCCATTTCAAGCTTTCTTCCCCTTTTCTGCGTCTGGTTCTCATGGGGCGGTGACGTTGCTGTAGACTGGACCGGTCGGTGGCAAACTGGATGGACTATTTCGTTGGCAACGAGGTAGAATACCACACTCGCACGAGGTCCAACATCGAAATATGTAGGACAACATACGATATATGTACGTGAATAGTTGGATGCTGCAACGATATACTGATGTATTGTAAGTAATCTATATATATGTCTACATGACGATTTCTGACATCGTCAACCAAGTCAACGCAACCAGTGCGATGCTTTCATTCCTTCCAGAAACTCAAGTTCCACAAGCACCCGCTCTGCAGGCCCAAAGGGTTCAATTTGCACTGCAAACACGCACAAATAGAGAACCGTACCATGGAAACTAAGCCTCCGGGCACGGTTGGGATTAAGATAAATATTCCGAAAACCTCGGGACTTGGGATTCGCCCAGCGTCGGCCCGGCCGATCCGGGCTAGGACCGCCGCAAGTTGGTGTTTGGGTGCGGGGGGGGGAGCTGCAAAGAGATGCACAGCATCTACTCTATCACCAGGACTTTGAACATGTATCAGCGAAGCCTTCAGTACTGCAGTATGGACATGGTCTCCAGGTGCCAAGAACCGTTCAACATCGTCTTGGCTGACTGGTGAGCACGAGGGCGGACTCTGGAAGGTTAAGGTACAAGTACAACATAATACATACTATAGTGGGATTTGCTTGAGGAACCGGTTAAATAACAAAGACACAGATATTCTCCAGAATGGGATTCACCCACATAGGCAAAATGACAAATCCCCTGATCCGCCAAAAGCAGGACTTCTTTGGGATGCTCCACTGAAGTTGGGAACTACCCGCTGGCTTCGCAAACCACTCGTATCCCCCCAAGAAAGCACCACTTGGGATTTGAGCCGTTGCAGCCTCTGAGGTAGTTAACCCAACTAATTTTATGGTTGAGGAGAACTGGTGGTGTTTTCTACCGAAAAGGCCTGGTCGTCTGAGGAGTGTGGTAGTCTATCTTGAGTCGCAGGGTTCCGAAAGGGCCATGGTTCAGTTCTACACGGTCCATGGATGTTCATGGTTTCCATGGTGAACATTGGGATCTTTTCACATCTTCTCGGTGGGTTGATGCGCTTTTTTTCTCCGGCTCAAGTCCGGGTGCCCAAGTCGCGTTGGAACTCTGCGAAGTTGGGTGGGACGGGTTGCCTGGGTGATCGCCCATCGACGCCAGCTGCTCCGAAGGGTTCGAAAAACTCTGGTGGTGAATCTTTCTATTCTTATGCCCGGAGTAGTTCCCTATATATACATTATATCGTCATATATAACTATAATCCCATATTAATCTTATATATATTTAAAACCATGCAAGGCCTTCCAGGCCAGCCATTGGAACCAACGACCTCCCTCAAAAAGCCGGTGGAGCCAGTCACGACCGGCTTGACGGGGTGGACCCTCCCCTCTCTGGAACGAGTGTACCGATCTGCCTGAGTAACCTCGATGTTGGGATCACCAACCACCACCAAGCACCCAAATATATGGGAAGAAACTTCCTAGCAAGACAAAGGTCATGTCCAGGTTCGAACCATGAAATACCATGAATCCATATCCAAACCAGGCATGTCGAGGTGTATATGTTGGGATATACAATATGTATACATCCGAGGAATCCTCAAACCATTGCAATCCGCCGCTTGAACTACTCGCTGACGACTCCAAAAACCGTACTCATTTGAGACGTGATGACATCGGTGACATCGGTGAGGTCCAGTGGTTCGGATGGGTCCAGTGGTTCGATGGGGTGTCTTACGTTCCTGTTCGTTCGCATGCTATTGATGTCGTTGAGTCGTTGATATCCTGGGCATGCTATTCATCTTGTGATCAGCTTTTGACACCCAGGGTCGCTGATTTTTTTTCTTACAAAAAATAGGGAGACCGAGGGAGACCATCCCAGGCGTTCCGAATTTCTGGGTTCGGTTCGGATAAACCAGCCATGACCAGTGGGCCACCAAGGTTTCTCCCAGTAAATTATGTACACACCCACGCCATAGATGGTTCCTTGATGTTCCTTGTAAGGGGTCAAAAGCAACATTGCTGCAGCTCTCTGTGAGGTGGCGCCTTTTGTTGGCTCATGACTCGTCCTGCAGAAGATTCCTGGCATCCCTCCCACGGATACATATTAGGGCCTAAGCGACCTCTGTTTGGAGTACAAGTACCAACCATCCTGAGTTGTACTTTCCTTCCAAACGAAGATTAATGGATTTAAACGTCTGCCGCATAAGAGTCAGTACGGCTTTGAAAACCGCCATGGTCTCAAGGCCCACCAAGCAACCAAAGATCATGATACGTAGACCCACAAAGCTTGTTCATAATCCCCCCGAAAGCACCGGTCACCGTCCCATGAAATTCAAGCTCCATGATTGGTCCTTGACCTCTTGGAACAGGTACCGCTTCACCAAAGGACGCAAACGACCAACTCCGGCAGTTGGTCCCACGCCCGGGCGTGGTGAATGGTGGAAAATCTTCTGCCCTTTCTGCCCTTTCCTTTAACCATGATTAAGTCCCCAGGGTCGGTTCCTCGTCCGATCTGGTCACATGATCCACACATCGGATAGACTCGAAGTATTCTGAGAAGGTTTATAAGTGGAGCCCGGTGATAGAGCACTTATATATCTTCCGATGTAAGTCCCATCTCCTTGGAGCCCTTGAGAGAACCTAGATTCAACTGATAGGTTGGTAAACTTTATACTTTGAAGCGCAATACTCAACAATTTCACCAAATAATCACCCTTTTGGAAGCCGCACTTCTTGCAGCTCACCGGATCCCCAGTCTAGTTGGAGGCCTCTCTTTGATGCCAGTCGAGCGGATTTGCGGAGCACCGGAAACGAGAAAGACTAACACATAATTAAATAACACATACTACCTATGCCTTTTCATCTATAAAACATATTCCCCAGGTTTGAGGATTTACGTGGATTTATCCATTAGGGAATCCCAAACAGGCGTTATGAGAGGGCGTCAAGGCAGGCGTCCCTTTTTGGGCAGGAACCTGCAACAGGTCAGCAGTGGACAGGTCTTACCACCAATGTAGAGTCAGGGGGCGGCTAATCATGTACACATGACATAGACTAGAGAGGTTGCACAGCCCATTTTTTTCGCCTATCCCATACCCCTACAGGGTCCTCGGTACTGTTATATCAACCTCTCTTGGTAGACTAGAGAAAAGACTCAAGTCGACCGGCAGGTATGGAGATGTATTGTGAGCTCCCCACAAAGACCGGCCCCTGTTGAAGCAAATTGCTACAGTACGGGCCTTCCAACTCCAAAATGAGCCGGGGCGCTTTGACCCATCGGTGAAGCCCAGGCTTTGTGGGATGACGATGCGTCGGATGCCGCCTCCATGCGACGTCATCGTGTGTTGCCTTCGTGTCATCGTCGCATGTGTGTTGTCACGCCGGCGTTGGTACTCGAAAATGAAGGATCCCCGATGATTTGACCAATAAGCTAATAAGCCAATCTGAACCTTCAAGCACCTTTTGAAACAACAATTAAACAAATCTGAACTTGAACATAACTTTATCGCATCTTACCAAAGTTTTTCCAAAGCACACATTCGGAAGGCCTGTGCTGCGTCACATGTAGAACATGTAGAACCCATCCGCAGTTCCTACAATACACAGTCCGTCCACCTAATGCCGTTCCCATCTGCACCACCTAAAAAGACAAAGCAAAACACACATACCCATTAAAACAAAACTCTTGACATCTCCGGAATAGATCACGGGGGTGTGTCCGGAACATCATCCACTGTCAAACCCGAAACTCGGGTGAGCCAGTCAGCTCAGCAGCTCCTGCGCAGCTCCAGCAGCTCCCGCCACCAGTCACCGGGTACGAGGTAATTACTACCGGAACGGCACCTTCGCGCATGGTGGAGACCGCCTCCGATAAGCCCCTCGGCCAGGGACGTGCAGCGGTGGAACCAGGGATGACACGGGCGAACGGTTGACACGACATGAAGAGGAGAGCCGCATAGAGCCGTTGACACGGTCCATGGCACCCGGTCCGGGGACCCAACTAAACTTGGTCCAGAAAAGGACCTCAGAACAAGTCATCATGTCTGGAGTATTTTTGCATGATCGACTCCAGTATGAAGGCTTTGACCTGTAGGGTGAGTTGGAAACCTTCATTGGCATCACCATGTCATGGGGGCCTACTCCCGACCCATCCTGAAAGCATCTCCCTTGGTCAGGAGGAACCTTGATGCATGAGTACAACAAATACCAATACAAATACCAGCAAATGCCAGCAAATAACAGGGCTTAACTCAAGTTGTTGCTGCTAGATCGGATACTGACTGTACCAGTTCTATATCGTTAGTGGAGTAGCACTTGGGTTGTGCCGGGGAACACAAGTTGGGTCCTTTTTCGAGTGGGTAGTACGTTGCAGTGAGTGAATTGGGTGGAATAAACATCAGCATCTTTGAGCAATGCTGGATGGGTCTGCTCAAAAATCATCCTTCCTCGCAAGAAACCCTATTAAAGGTAGCGCAGCTACCTCCAACCTAATAGCAATGGCCTCCAACCAAATTGCTATGCATAGCTTTGCGACTCGGTGAGAAGAACCAAACCGACTTCACCCAGAACAGGAACCGTCCATGCTCGGCCGAGCTGCTCGGCCGTTCACATCATCCTGTAAACAAGTATTGCTGTGAATGTGCCCCTACCCGCTCTACAATAACAATCAACAACAGCTGTCAACCTTGAAAGGACGTCTGAAGATGCCATCTATCTCAACACGTTTGTCAAATGATGTCCATCCGTCCATCCACTCAACTTGTGCATCAAATCCTTTTTCGCATCCGCCATGGCACCTCCGGATCCTGTCCTCTGATTCGGGACTATCTGGTCCATCCATCTTGATACTTCATTGCATCTATCGCAGATGGCACGCCCCGTTTCCGTGGACGGCCGCGAAACTGCGCGCGTCGTGGTGCTTCGTCGTGCTTCGTCCAGGCGGCTGGATGATCGAGGCGTCGCCCAGGACGAAGCTATACGGCGCCTCGCGGTCCTGCCCGCGTTTCGTTTCAGGCCATCCAGGGCCATAGGCCATCGTGGGGAGAAAACATGGGAGCCCTTTGAATTTGAGAAGATGGAACATCATTTTGGGTGGCTGGTGGTTCAGAAGCGAGGTCGGTTTAGGAACATGTCCTCTATATGCTGTATACGTGGTGTGTTCATGATTTGAGGCCTTGAGCCACAGCCGGGATTCGCACCACAACGTGCCCAACATGACTCAATGCCATCTCTATGCCATCTTTGTGACAAGGGAACAAACAATTGAACGTTATTAAGTTAGTGAGACAATGATTCATGATAGTAATCTCCTGGGTAAAATCTACCATTGATGATCTGAAACCCCAGCAATGATACCCTACATGGACTTTATCATGCAACCAACCTATCTCCTTATATATATATACGATATATACATACAGTATACACTTATCCATATATATATATATATTATAGATGTTCTGTGCAACTCCAGTGCCCTTCTCTCCTGCGCTTCCATCCGTACAAACCGGACCAGAATCCCGGACGAAAGAATTCCAAGAGCTGTGAATTACAACAGTCATCGAGCCTTCGGGCTTCAGCCGTTGCCAGCGGCCTTCGTCGAGTCAATCTTGTTTCCATAGCGCGCGCCGGTGGTCATCATGACGTAGTCGATGGTGACCTGCGCTGTGCTACTCACAGCCAACCAGCGATGAAGACAGGGGGTAAATACCTAGGATCCAACAATGTGTCCGTCTGGCTGACTGCAGAATCTGATGACATCATACAAAGGCTCATACTGTTCGGTCAATTCCTGCATCCTTGTAGGGTAAAAAATAGAATAAACTGGGGAGCCAATCCATTCGGGAATCGGAATGGTGTCAGCCCCAACATCAGGAATCCGTGAGATTAAAGAATAATCATGCGACAAAAAAAATGCAAGTCTGACGACAAAAAATCATGACTCAGGAAGCTGGTGGGGGAACTTCTGCAAACTCGACTGGATGCTATCTTGGGTGGTTGTGTGACCCTAAATGGCGGAATCTAGCACCACCTTGGAATAGAAGGAATCTGCCGGCTCTCTCTCTCTCTCTCTCTGATTGCACTAGGTCCAATATCACACATGGGTTGCTCTTATAGGCAGGATAATCTAGTCCATCAACTGGCAAAATAATCCAACATTCCACTATAGCTGTAATGTACCAGGATTTGTTTCCTCAACACTCCACGACTTTATATATATATATATGTATAAACATGTGGTTACATTTCAGTGGCTTCAGGGGTCCATGTTTGGATCAATATTCCACTCCCATGCAATATGTCTGGCTTTGGACTTTTGTCCACCAAACATCACCAAACCACATGGACTCATCCGCATCGCTCACCTTGGTGCCAGGCTTTGGGTTGTCGCCCGTGCCCACACGCCTGCAGTCACCGACACACTCACCGCTCCGCTGGAGGGGAGGCAGCCGTGAAAGCTTCTGGTTGGAGGTTCCAACAAAGCTGACAACGACCCATATAGCCATGAAGATTCACCCATTTTCCAGCTTAAACAAACATCATGCCTGTTCTCGCACTCAACAGCAAAGGTTTCGGCTTCCGACTTCCTTCAAGCAGTGTACCAAACATGGATAGGTGTCGGTTCGTTTAGGCCGCTTCGGCCAGGTCTTGTTGAAGCACTCTTGTTCGACCCTCCAGGTGCTTCAATGTTCCAACTCTCAAGCTGCCCTTCCATGGACCTACATTCCCAGAAAAAAAAGAGGAAGTAGATGGAAGTGGATGGCACCACCCGGTGTGTTTTTTTGGGAATCATTAATGGTCATTCAAGGGGCCCCCAAGCACTTCCATGATCTTCCATCATTTCGGACCCATTTCTTCCTGCCAAAACTCGATGCCTTGCATCTCTTGCTCAAGCAAACTCAGGCAACACTGGCAAACCCGTGGGCCTCCCAAATCAATGATCGATTCACTTCTGATCTACGTCGCCACGAAAAACCTGGTCCATGCGAAAAGGTTGGGGGTTGGGGGTCACACATGGTCACACTTCACGTGGACCCGCCACAGATCTATCCTGCCCGGAGAGTCCGCCGAGATCCCGAGCACATCGGCATATTTCAGCCCGGATGGCAGCTCAGTCATCTGGAGGTTGTCCTTTCGACGACCGCTTTCGATAGACGGGACGGTCAACCTCTCATCGTGCGTTTTGGCAGGGTCGTTGTGGTGGCACTGTTGTGGCACTGGTCAACTGCCCGGTGTGTTTTTCTTCTGGCATTTTCACCTCTGTGTTGTGTACAGTGGGTCCTACATATCATGGATGAGGTCCCATAGATGGTGTTGATGGACTCTCAGCATCCCTGGCTTTCAAGGATCAAGTCTGTTCCATCAAGGCTGGGCTATTTTTGCCCCATGAAAGCCTCGAACATGAGTGCCGGAAAAAGAAACAAACAACCTCTGGAGAAAAGATTGATGCCTTGATGATGAACATATCCTTGCAAATGATAATATCTTGGAAATGGGTCTTGATACTTTACGGATATGATGTCCTGGGCTCGTCTATTCCAAGCAATGCCTTTTTGATGTGCTGCTACTGGTGCTGAGCTCTGCTCGTATTTCTTGCATGGTGTATTTTGGTTCAGTGTGGTTCTCTAGCGCAGCTTGTTACGACTTGGACACATCATCCTTGGACATCGGAGCTCCGAAGCTCCGGTTTGCTCGGAAGCTCCTGCAGGCTCGGCTCTTGCCCTGCCTGTCTGTGTATTCTTCTTTAACCAGCCGATTCCAGCCGCTGCCAGCTCTGTGTTGTCTCAGTGGTCCGTGTGGTCAGTGTCCCGTGAACCAAGGGACTCCAAAAGGTCAAATGGGGAAGAGTCTGCTCAGTGTATCGCAGCGAGTGCAAACAGCATCCAGCATTCTGCCTCACTACCGTTCACTACTGCTGAAGATCAAAGGAATCTTACATACCGTTCACCAACAATTTCATTTGGGTGATTTTCCAACTTCCATGAGTATTTCAAGAAGTGTGATCTACTGCAATCCCTACTTCCACCCCATGGAACCCAAGACCTTTCCACCACACCGATGAAAAAGGGCCACGGTTCAGTCGCGTGGAAAGCGCGGTTTGCTGGGTCCTCGAAGCGTGTCACATCACGGCCGGGATCTCGCTTGCCCTGGTGAGAGGTGACACAACTTGAGGCTCAGGCCTTCTAGGTCTGAGGATCACAGGATCTCTCTCTCTCTCTTCCACCTGGTCGGTCAGGCCTTCCAGGGGATTCCAGTGACCTTGTCTAGCCCAAACTCCTATCTGGATGTGGGTCAAAAGAAACGGGCTCCAGGTTTTGACCCACATGGCAGGGTGGAAGACCTTCCAGTTTGACACCCTGGAAGAAGGGCACAGACCAGTCTACCCGTTGGGACGGGGGTCTCCCTATCAAAATACACACCCTGCCAACTCGTGATGATATTTCAACCTTCCCTGGCCTGAAGAGGCTTTATAATCCATGTCTGGAGGGATTTAAGGTAGAAACCTGATATTTCAACCCCCAAGCCTGAAGAGGTTTACATGGTCTTACAATTCTGTGTGGGGGGTATTTTCCCATATCGGGCCATATCCCCTCCACTGCTGCCTGCGATGTTTGATTGCACGCCAGCAAGCGCATGTGTCTGTCACCACTGTTTTAAGGCAACATACATGCACCACATGTTCCAGATCCTGCTGGGCAAGCGCATCCAGATCAGCTTGGCCAGTCTGGTGCAATCACACCGTCACGGTGGCTGTCTGTCCTGCAGGACCTTCTTTGACGCTGGCTGTCATACAGGACTCACATCCATGGCCAGCCCGCGAACCCGCGAGCTACGACCGGGTGCCAAGCCGACGCACATCGACACAACTATATCGATGGGTTTTTGGGGGATCTTCTACAAAACCGAAACCATGTTGTGGGTCGAAACGCTTGGGGATAAGATTATAGGACCAGACTGGGTAAGTGGAGAATTAAAGTACATCCAACCAAATGCAGTATATAGACTATATAGTGACCTAGAGCATGTCAGCAAAACCTCTTAGATTTCATCCACATCCCTTTCACTCAACCCTTATCTTAGAACTTGATAGTAATCGGTCACCGGTTCAAGAAAACACGCACAAAACACATCCAAATCCGAGCAAAAAGGGTTCGCCGCCGAATCCCTCGCCTCGGCGTGTGCTTGGGAGGAGTGCCTGAATAGGAGGGTGGGCGAAGGCGCAGGTGGCGCAGGGTGGATGAAATTGGTGGTCGGTTAGGACGGTGCTGTGATGAGAGAACTTGTTGCGAAACCGTGAATTGAGTGTTGAATTGAATTCTTTTTCGCACGTGGGACAAAGAAATTAGAACTATTGGGATGTATTGAGGGGAGAGGGGAGATCCAACGGAAAAAACATTCTCTTGTGCCAAACAGAGTCTGGTCTTTTGTTTGGGTCTGCCAGTCGGAGTGGGGTATTCTACTCGTTACACGTGGGTAGCACGTGGGGGGCTTGCCATAGTTGGAACACCCATCAGCCCCTAGCAGATCGAACATGTTTTAACGCAAAAACATCCAGCCTTGTGACGAAGTTCATGGGCTTGCAACGGCAAATTCAAACACTCCATGTATGGAATCTATGCGTCTCCATTGACCCCAATGTAGGTATATGGAGTGTCCTAGGTACAGTAATGTAAACTCTTGATCAATCAAACCCACCCATTTGGATTGCACGACCCCTTCATATGGGGTTGACATAGTTGACATATCATGAATCAAGAGTCTACATTAAGTGTGTCTTGCAAAAATGATCAAGCATGTCCAGCCAGGGTCCCTACTGCCTCCTCTGTCCACCGATTCCAACCAGCGACGTTGAGAGTTTTGCCTGCGCGAGGTCTTGCGGGCTGGTCCTCCAATCGATTTGACCATGAAGTCTACACTGAATCCATCAACACCAATCCTGGCAGCACATCCCAGGATTAATCCCCTGGCACCAATTCTAAGAGTTCCAGGTGCTAGAGGTGCCACGCTCAGAGACCGGCCTGTCCAATTTGAAAGCATGAGCTTCATCTAGGCCACCTCTCCTCCATGAGTTTCATCTAGGTCTCTATGATTGGAGACCGTCGGAGAGGCATTTTCATGTGCATCGGCAAAGAATTCAGCACGAGACCAGAAGTTCCTTCAACTGAATGCGCAAGCAAAACGGGAGATAGACCACGCATTCCAACAGGCAGAAGATCACCAGTGCGAGGCACGAAGAAAAGAATGAAAGGAGCCCTGGTGGTAGAGCACTCGCCCCTCATCCTGCAAAGAAAAGTAAGGGTGATAGACACCAAGACTGAAAGCTTCCTGCATGATGGTGGACGTTATTTGATTGGGCATTTGTCTATATATAAAACTCTAAATTACCCAATATGATGTTGGAAGACCATAGCAATGTCAACAGTGAACCTTAAGCCGTTCGATTCTTTTCCAAGTTCGGTAGCGTTAGAAGAGTCGGAGCTGGTTCACTCTGCTGACCACGAGCACTGGAAGACTGTCTCTTCGTCTTGACCGTCAGAACCATCCATGTCAATGTGCTTTTCCATACTTTTCCCTATGTCCACGAAAGCAAACCAAACGTGCCATTGGGACAAAGACATACAAATGTTTCAAAGAACCATCAACATTCTGATACAGGTGATCAAACGATCAGTTTGTGACCTCTTGTATTTTTAAATCTAAATCATGAGGTCTCTATCCCACTGTGATTCTATCCCACTGTGATCAACTCAACAACCAGTCGTATGAGCCCGGTGAGGACACACCCTTTCAGTGGACCCTGCCTCAACAGTGGCGAATGATGGTTGATGGGGACCCCATATTAAGGACAACGTAAAATGCCGTTTGTTCTGGAACCGGAAGATGACCCTGACTCGGGGCAGTTCAAAAAGTGGCCGAATCAATCCAAGGTCCATTTGGAAAGTCGATGAGTAAGGTGATGGATCAGCGACACCACAAAGCCAAAGGGAATTGGATCACATAAAAAAAACAACAAAATGCGCTTGGGTTCCAAATTTCCTTAAGTTATTCAATTATATACTGGTATGTCTAACGAGTTTGTGTGTTGGCTTTGGGTTCCGCAAACAACATCAAACAACCTCGAGAACAAAAAAGCAAACACCTCCATGTCTCTGTTGTTCTCTGTTCCTCTGCGCCTTCACCCGCCCCTCGCTGAGGTCCCAGCAGCAGAAGGCCGAAGGCCGGCAGAACTGCCCGGCAGCGAGCGGAGGAGACCTGACCACTGGGAATCTTTCAGGGGTGACTGCTGGAGATGGATATACTAAGCGCAACCGCAACAAATGACCCAGGACTCATGATGATGATGATGATGATGATGATGATGATGATGATGATGATGAT